GCGTAACAATATGGCAGACTCTGATCAACATTCCCAGCACAAGGGTGAAGGGGGTGAGAACGCCAGTGTGCAGTGTCAAGGGTTTTCATGAATACCACTCAAAGGAGCACACCACACTCCATCGAAATAAGCACGGTACAAATTGTAATAGTGAAGGTGTAATAGGAGGATAAAGGAAATGTGAATAGCCCAGAGCAGAAGGGGGGATACCACAACTGTTAAGCACACGTTTGGTCAAAGGATCGGCTTCACATGTCTCTTTTACGAGTTGTTGAATGGTGCTATGAATGGCGAGACTCACTGATGATGCCGACTACGATGCCAGCGAAACGTCTGGGAATGTACCACATCCACGGTCCGACTTTGGAAATGATGATGCATACAATGGACTCCGGATTAGGCGTGCTCCTCTAAGTCTTTTTACCAATGTGACCAAATTGCGAAGGCAAGGTCAAATAACTTCTATCCAACATGTTGAATTTTTTCGTTTATAAGTATCCTTTCGTTGAGTTTATCTCAGTTGGTGATTATATTTTGATTAGTAGTTAGATGCTACTTATTTATCTGAATAAGTAGGCACATTCTTTTAATTTTAGTAAATGGCAAACGTTAACAATTATAACAATTACATCAATCAAAAATGGTTATTATAATTCTACCTATGACGACAGAACTGAATTATGGTATTTTACCCTTTAATGAATCATACATTACTTTTGCATTATTCAACACAACCCATTGACTTGATTTCCCTTTATAATACATTGGAATCTGACGCAAAGACCTTAAAAGCGACGGTCTCATTCATTCGCACTGCTTCTGTTTAATAATTCGTATCTGGAAAGTATGGAGATCAGAACGGTGTGACCTCTTGTATGGTCGCGATCTCTTTTCGTTATATAGAGGTTGTTTGACCTTATTTTTGCTACTTGGTCATATTGGCAGTAAGATATAGAGGAACGCACCTTGTCGGGAGTCTATAGGATCAGAGTCGGATCGTGGACTTGGTGCATTCCCAGACGTTAATGAGTAAATCCCTTGATCAACTTTCTGTCTAAACTGTGCGCAATCACTACTCGTTCTGTTCTGGTCCCTCTATTCATTTCCCACCCTCTTATCTCGCCCTCCTATCACTAATTCTGTCATGTTTATTTTCCACAAGAGATGTACCCTTACGGCGAATTCACTGTGGTGCCATCCCACCTGGTGTTTACCTTGCTCCTCTCAATTTCGTGTGGTTGCTCCGACTCTAGCCTCCTGTCCGGATCTGCTCTATGGGTTCGTGAGTTCGTTTCTTATCTTTCTGGTCGACTGATTTGACTCGGTTCCAGCCCCAGTCTACTTTTACTCCAGGTGCTATTTATCAAACCTTCAGTAGCACGTACAAAGTAGCCTCATCTACAGAGCACCTGAGCTCTGATTCCCATGCTGGCGGAGATTAGACATTATCTTCACGCATCCTCTCCTAGATTAAATCCGTGTACTCTGAGCAAACTGAGGACATCTACCACTGGTCGTCTGCCTCATCTTAAGTGGATTATTAGTCAATTTTGTCATAGTGCCCGATTTGTGTGACCCAATTCATCTCCCAAAGTTATATTTGTCTATTCAAGCTGACTACACTCGCTGAGAACATCTTTGCTTTATTTCCAGGA